TGTAAATTGCATTATGGGATGTTGATCTCTGCTCTGTCCACTTTTGGTGTTTAAAATTCAACTCTACAGTTTAAAAAAGTGACTTTTAGTGACATTTTAGTAGTCTGAAATAATTTAATCTATAAAAAATAATCATATAGAGAGGAAAATTTGTTTGGGAAATAACAGAAAATGTGCTGGCAGTTTATTACAAGGGTTTTATAGCATAATATACAACACCAACCCAGACCACATATCACTTTAAACTATTAAAATTGCTCATAAAAGTCACTTCTTCAAACTTTTGAAGGTTAAAAGTTTTTGCAAGAAAGACCAAGATCTGTAATTTAGTACTAATGAGATTTAATGCAATTCAAAAAATGTGACGTCATTTAATGCAATTCCCTGTTAATAAACAGGGAAAATCTAAAAAACATGAATCACAAAATACAGAAATCTGCTAATTAATGCAGATTTTTTTGTACCGTGGACAATAAATACACTGCATTTTATTTATGCAAAATAGTTTTGCATGTCTCTGTAGCTTTAAATGCTGCATGCTTGCTTCTCATCAGTAACACTGAATTGTTGAAGCCGAATGATGCCGTTTATAATCGATATTAAACTCCTAATCAAGTAGAACAAATAAAAAGCACGCAGAAATGATAGCTGGCAAACTCATAGTGTGTCTGCTTTCCTGAAGAGCTGATTCATGAACTTTGTGTCCTTGTGCAAGACACTTAACCTCCGCTTGCTCCAGAGGGATTGTCACAATATGATAAGTGTAGTGAGTCAGAAAAGTAGAAGAAGCATCTGCTAAACGACTGGAGAAAAATAGCCTGTGCTTGTGAAGAAGGCTGCAGTGCTTTTTCAAGTGAAGTTGCTTGCTTTTGTGCGTCCGATGATTTTCTGAATTCAAAGCAACCTCTGAAATTTATAGTCAGGTTGATGTTTCATTTACTGCACTGGCTGCGCTCAAGGACTCATCAAGTTCAATCAGAATATACAATCAGAGCTTGAATAGCTAAATTACCAGCCCATAATGTTCAAGAGACCTTGAAATATAGACGTATAGAAGTTGCGTTGTGTGTAAGGTATAAAGCTGCACGTTTCTCAACTTTAGATGATAGTTTTTGTCATGATTGTGCCTCATTTTTTTATTCAGCTTGATTGATTTGTCTCTTGTTTGCTTTGTAGGCATTTAATCTTTCCAATTGTGACAGTTTTATGTGTGATAGATTTGTTTTCGTGAGTGTTTTTAGGAGCTGGTGCTGTAAGGGCACTAGTTTGCTTCATTTTTAATTGCATACACCAAAAATAAAATGATTCATTGGATTTATTTAATGTTTTTTTTAAGTTAAGTGGTTGCAAATAGTTTATTTTTGCTGAATTTAAACAAACTACCCACATTGCAAAATATCTCCGGCCCAGCTCTGGCCCACACGATCAGCTTTTGCTTGGCCCACATGCCGCAGTGAATTACGCTACATGACTGGACCAAGTCTGACTTTCATGTTGACTTTCAAGTCTGACTGGGCCAAGTCTGAGTTTCATACCAGCAGCCATTAGACATTTAAATAAGGCATAGACTAAAGCAGAGATGTTTCAGTGACTTGTATATTTTAGATCATTTTAAATATTTACTTGGGGGAGGGGGGGTGGACACTTAAAGTGATTATTTATTTATTTATTATGTTTACGTTTTATGTCTTAATGGGCATTTGTTGTTGTTACTGTGCGAGTTGCTTTGTGTGGCACGATTGTGAGATGAGGACTCTTGACTGCAAACCAAATCTACCTTCGGGTATAAATAAAGTAATCTACCTACCTACCTAGACAAGAGCCAAACACGGACCATATCTCGGCCAAGTCTCAGCCAAGTAATAACCCATAACTGAGCCTGAACTGGGCCAGATATGTTGGTGTGTCACGACTGCAGTTGAATTTGATAAACTCATGTATTATTTAGCTTTAGGCACACTATGGGTATGCTTTGTCTTGAAGTGACCTGATTGGTAGATTTTATATTATTTTAATTGAAAATAATAAAAAGATATTTTACATTTGGGTAAAGATAGACCAAACTTACATGGCTCACATATCAAATATTAACATCTGGGCCAAATACTACAATTTATATCTGGCCCAAGTATCGTGTGCCACCTTAAAGATGGTGCCACCTCTGCCAAACCAGAAGCATGTTTGGCCCACATGCTGTATGCCAGTGCCGGATGAATGCCTACTGTGCCAGATTTATGCCAAATCTGGGCCAGAAATTCTTTGCTACCTGGGTAGTTATGTTGAATGATACTAAATCTAATTTGTTTGTTTAAATTCAACCCATATCAATTGTTAGCAACCTTAAAAAAACTTTAGTAAACTCATTGAATTCAGTGTATCTAGTAGGCCTGTCACAATATCCAATATATGAAGAGTTCACATGCAAAAACCTCTAAATTCCGACTAAAATTTCCATTGAAAATGAACATTTTTCTCAGCCTCCTTATGTTGGGATATTTTACTTTAAAGACCAGCAAAATAACTTATTCTTTGCTATAAAAGAGATATTTTTGAACATACACACATGAGGCTTATGAAAATACTCATTTTAGAGGAACATTTTAGACTGCATTTAGAGGTTTTTGCATCTAAAGTCTACATATGGACTTATTGCTCAACACATGGACATGAACTCAATCATATTTGGTGATGCACTATATATCACCCATGCGTAAAAAAACAATTCTAGCAACATTTCAGCTGTGCAACATCTCTATCTCTATTAGAGATGTCAGTGTCAGGTTACAATGAACACTATAGTATTTACTATTAATTACTATAGTATATCCTCATGTCAGTGTCTGACAACTGAAAATAGATCTAGTAACAAATATCACAGCCTCTGTAACTTTTTATCTTGCAATGCCTGAATATTAAATAGTTAAAATGACTATAATTAAACGAAATACTCTTAAGAACAAAATAGGATGTGTTGTTTGGAAGAGTGTACATGTATTATGATGCTATTATATAGTCATTTTGGCATTATATACTGTAGTGAGTGGCATAAAATGATCTTAAAATGACAATAATATTGTTTATCACAATATATTTTGGTGCAACAAATCATACAACAATAAACAGATGTCATGACAGACCTAGTCTATTGTGAAACTGGAAAGAAAAGAGGCAAAAATTCATGGTGTCATGTCAAGTGTTTGGTGTAATTAGTTGGTTATTAATTAGAATCAGGTAATAATGTTTTTGTAGGTGATTTAGTACAAGTTACTTGCCTTAAATATTGTAAATAAATTCAACAGATGTGTATAAATCAATTCAGAAGGTAAGAGTGATTGTGTTTTTGTTATGCAAATAAATTTGCAGGAAAATTGAGTATTTAAACTAAAGAAGGTTCAATTTATCAATACAATTACACGATGAAGAAAACTGTAATTCAATTAAAAGCACTGTTGCCTTATAGCAAGAAGGTTGCCGGTTCGAGTCCTGGCCGGGTCAGTTGTCATTTCTTTGAGGAGTTTGCATGTTCTTCCCATGTTGGTGTGGGTTTTCTCCGAGTCCAAACACATGCGGTATAGGGGAATTGAATAAAGCGAATTGGCTGTAGTGTATGAGTTTGAATGAGTGTGTATGGGTATTTCCCAGTACTGGGTTGCAGCTGGAAGGGTATCAGTTGCGTAAAACTTACCCGGGATAAGTTTTCAAATCATTCCGCAGTAGCAACCCCTGATTAAAAAAGGGATTGAGCCGAAGTAAAGTGAATGAATAGTTAATATTAACTATATTAGTGTATATTATATATGTCACCACCTACTGGTGTATCTTCATTTGAAGCTCTAATTTAATTCCAAAAGTAAATTAGATTGTATTTTTTTTGTATTTATTAAACAACTAAATGCATACATTTATATTAAAATGTTTGAACCTATATCTCTCAGATTCATTGGAGATCAATTATTCCAAAATGTATTGTAATCTTCATTTGAAGCTCTAATTACTTCTGAATTTACTTCCAAAATTAAATTAGGCTGTAAATCATTTATATTTATTACACAGCCGCCTCACTAGCACTTATGCATTTATATAAAAATATTTAAATTGACAACTCTGGGATGCATTGTGCACAAATTATTCCACAGGCCAAACATATTAAATAAATTTTATCACAACTTATTGTAATCTTCATTTGAAGCTCAAAATTATTTATTTTAAAAGCAAATTTAATGGAAAATCATTCATAATTTATAGACACCCAAATCACAGTTAGTTAAGCATAAACTTGTTTAAATGTTTGAATCCAGCTCTCTCGGATTCATCAATTATTCCAAAAGCCCAAAATATTTATCATAATTTATTATCTTCATTTGAAGCTCTTCTTTAATTCCAATAAAATAAATTAGACAGTACATCATTCATATTTATTATACAACAAAATGACTATCAGTTATGCATTCATTTATATTAACATATCTGAATCTAGGTCTCTCAGATTCATTGTGCATCAATTATTCCACAGGCCAAAAATACTCAGATAATTTTATCAAAATTGATCATAATCTTCATTTGAAGCTCTACTTTAATTCCAAAAGTGGTAAAACATTTCTATTTGTAACACAATCACAGTTAGTCATGCATTAATTTATATAAAAATATCTGAATCTAGGTCTCTCGGATTCATTGTGCATCAATTATTCCACAGGCCAAAAATATTGAAATCATTTTATCACACTTTTTTTTTTTCCCCAAGACTCCATGCGTGTCTTTGAAACTCTTGCCAGGACGTTCTAGCAGAAGATGCTCTCCACAGATAGTTGCAGGTTTCTCCTGGGAGCTGATCTTTCCGCTGCTATTCTTAGGGTTGTCACTTCACTCAGTCTATATGAAGGGAATTGCATCACAAGAACTGAAGTCAGAACTTTATTTTTTTCTTTGCGTTTTTTTTTTTTATCAAACACACTAAGAGAACAGTATGTCATGACGTGTGCAAACTGTGTCTCTTTCAGGAGTGCATGCATAAATGCCAAGGAACTGCATGAAAGAGTCATCATCTCCCAAGGAAAACGAGATCTTTCTGTGGAGGATGGATCTGCCCAACAAGGAAAGACGGTCACCGGAAAACAGCCCAAGCTCCAGTCGGCGCTGTTGCTCAAGCTTCAAGGTAAGTTTTGCACCCTTTTCCCAAATTATGTATAACAGAGCAGGAATGTATCACAGTATTTCCTCTAATATAGTTTCTTCTGATAAAAGAAATCAGTTCTTAGAAATGAGTTATTAAAACTGTATGTTTGGCAATGTGTAGAAACAAATCTTCTTCCATTAAACAGAAATTAGGGATAAATTATACCGGGGGGCTAATAATTCTGAAGTTAACTGCATATGTCATTATTACATGGCTGGTTGGAATACTTGATTCTGATTGGTCAGTTGACTTTCCAAGGTGTGTTATTTCAAGATAACAAGCATTAAAACTAATGACACCGGCTCATCTGGGTACTCCTAATCTTCTACCATCAGTGAATACGCTTACATCCATATATGCTTGCATCCAAACGCTTGCCTGTTTTCAATTGTTTTGTTACGGTTTTGGCGCCCTCTTGTGACTGAATAATCTGCAGGTTAGTGTATGCTCCATTCTACAGTTTTCATTTCTGTCAGCTTTGCATTTAATTAAATAATGAATACACTAATACAACTCAGACCTACTACTTAGACATCATAAAAGTAACACTAAAATAAGATTGGCTTAACTAAGAGATATATATATATATATATGAAGAGTACAGATGCAAAAACTTCTAAATGTCAAAAATCTTACATTTTCTTCCAAAATACGCATTTTACGACTTTTGTGTGTAGGTTCAGCAATTTCACATGTATGTTGTTGTATGTAAGTTTCACATGTAAGTGAAAAGACTGAAAATAAACATAGGAGGTTGAGAAGAATGCTTGTTTTGAAAGAAATTTCAGATGGCATTTAGAGGTTTTTCAACAAAACTCTTCATATACACTCACCGGCCACTTTATTAGGTACTAGTACCAGGTTGGACCGCCTTTTGCCTTCAGAACTTGTCTACATGCCTAAATACATTGTTTGCTGCCATGTGATTGGCTGATTAGAAATTTGCATTAACAAGCAGTTGGACAATGTGTACCTAATAAAGTGGCAGGTGAATAAAGCCAGCAACAAACAGAGAGACGCTACAGTTTGACAAATATTCCTGCTGTTAGACTCCAAAATGTACTTTTGAGGCTTTTGTTAGTCGAGAATGTAGTTGTTTAGATTGCAACTAGGCAGTTTATTTGTAAGAATAGTGCCTATTTTCAAATATTTATAACTTCTGAGAGAGATCGTTGGCGGCCTTTAAGCTGCCATAGTGTAGTAGACCAAAGACGGTTGACTTTGTCTATCCACAAGATGGCACCAGGACCGCATAATAAGCCCCTGCTTAGATTAAAACTGTTGTGTGTTTTCTTGAGCATGAAGCTGAAAAACGTAAGCGTCGTCGTTTTTAAGGTGGACCGGATAGTCAATAAGAAGCTGCGAATAAGAAGCTGTATTCAGCCTTGTCCCTCCTTATCGCAAACACAACAGCAGTCTGGTCGTGATTGCGCTGCTTTTTTAAGGTTATCATTCATTCATTCATTTTCTTGTCGGCTTGGTTCCTTTATTAATCCGGGGTCGCCACAGCGGAATGAACCGCCAACTCATCCAGCACATTTTTTACACAGCGGATGCCCTTCCGCAACCCATCTCTGAAAAAAAAAGGTGCTGTAGCGACAGACGCTTGAGTCTTGGTCTTTGGCCTCCTTGTTAGAGAAACCAACTCCCATGCAGAAGGTCGCCAATTTGATCCCAGCTCGGAGAGGGTTGGGTGGTGTAGGACCGGTGGGGTTACATTGGTGCCCTGATCTTTTCGAGGTTAATTATTGTGATATTGTAACAGTCGCTTAATGTTTGATATGCATTGTGTATAAATGTCCCCTTTAAGAGGACTTCTTCTTTGGTTCTTTTACCTTTGAGATGCAAGCATGCATGGGAGCTCAGTTCAGCTCTGGCGAGCTCTGAGAAGTGTGTAGTGGTCGCTCAGCAGCTGTATCATTCTTTTATTTCAATTATGTAACATTTTTATTTTGCCACGGATGTTTGAGTGTCTCTTTCTTTTCCTTTTGCCTACTCAATGTTACTGACTGGCATGTATGTAGTCGACAGCACTTGAGAGAAACGCATAAAGGCCAATAGGAAGAGCCGAATAGTTTCTGTCTCCTTTTTTTATTTCTTAAAGTCTCCGGGTAAACGCAGGGACACCTGACACCCGTCAGAATCTTGCCTACTCATACCGATATTCCCTCAATTGTCTGTATGTTTATGTCTGGAAATGAAGATTCTGGTTCATTTGCTTTACATGTAACAGGCTTTGAGGCCTCCGGCGCTGTGACGTCATTGAGTCCAAACAAGATTTAGCTTCAGTCTGTGGTGGAATCTGAGGTCTGGGAACAGAGAGCGTTTTGAGCTCCTGATGAGATGATTATGGCTAACGATGTAAATAATGAGAGAGTCATGCTCAGCGCTTCCTTTGTCATGAACACATAAGCTTGGCCACAGAAGAGCCATTCAGCCACGTCAAAACTCTCTGTGTGAGACTCACAGTCGTGTGTGAAAGTGGAAGACTGCCAGATTATAATGTAAACTTTACATTGATCTTTACTCTACTTTGATCAATGTGGAAAGTGAATGCTGTGATTCATCAAACACGTTATTCAGGAGGTGAATTGGTGTTTATGATGAGATATTTACTCTCAGACATATGCGTTCATCTTGTTTACCCCAAAAGTGTGTATATTAGCACATATTATAATTATTATATACTAGTCTTTATGCATTTGAAGGCAAAATTAGTAGCTCTCCTGTGTAATTTGAATTACTTGTTTAATTAAAGTGGTGTTAAACAGAGTATTTCCTATTATATTTTTCTTCTGGAGAATTTCATATTCATTTTAGTTCGACAGCAATATTTATTTATTTATTTATTTATTTATTTGTTTGTTTGTTTGTTTGTTTATTAATTATATAATAACTGCTGTGTTCAATATTATTTGCCTCCCTAAAATGACCTTTTTTGATTGAGAATTTTGATTGGCAAATGAACAAACCACTTTTTTCAGTGACATCACTGGTACATATTATTATAATAACAATTATTATTATTATTATTATTATATACTAGTTTTTATACATTTTTAGGCAAAATTAGTACAGTAGGTTCCCTGTGTAATGACTTAATTAAAGTGGTGTTTAACACAGTATTTCCTAATATATTTTTATTCTGGAGAATGTCTTAGTTATTTTAGTTCAACTGAAATATATATTATTTATTTATTTATTTATTACATAAATAATAACTGCTGTGGTCAATATTATTTGCACCCCTAAAATGACTATTTTGATTGGCTAGTGAACAAACCTGTAGACTGTTTTCAGTGACGTTTCTAATTAACATAACTTGCCTAGTTAGCCTAATTAACTAGTTAATGAATGACTCTGAGCTTATGGATCTTAATGTAAAGTTTACTCCTGATGAATTTAAAAACATGCAGTAATTATCAAGAACTTTTTTTAGGAGGTTAATTGATATTTATGATGAGATATTTACTCTCAGAAATATGTTATATCTTGTTTACCTCAAAGGTGTGCATATTAGCACATCACTGGTACATATTATTATAATTATTATTTTATACTAGTTGTTATACAATTGTCTGCAAATCAGTAGGTTCCCTGTGTAATTTTAATGACTTGTTTAAAGTGGTCTTAAACACCGTATTTCCTAATATATTTTTATTCTGGGGAATGTCTTATTTATTCTTATTTTATTTGACTGGAATATATATTATTTATGTATTAATTTATTTATTTATTACATAAGTAATAACTGCTGTGGTCAATATTATTTGCCCCCCTAAAAATGACTATTTTGATTGGCTAATGAACAAACCGCTTTTTCTGATGATGTGTCTAATCAACCTCATTAATTAATTAATGGATGACTGCCAGCTTATAATGTAAAGTTTACTCCTGATCAATTTAAAAAGATGCAGTGATTATCAAACACTTTATTTCAGGAGGTGAATTGGTCTTTATGATGAGATATTTACTCTCAGAAATGTGGTTATCATTAAAGGTACATATTGTTTCAGTTGAAGACAAAATTATCAGCTTTTATATGAAATTTTAATTACTTTATTAAATATTCACCAATATATTTCCTATAATGGGAAATGCACAGTATTTCCTATTATGTTCCTATTATATTGTTTATGTTAGTCTCGCTCTCTCTATATATAGTTTTTATGATTATTATTTTTCTTTAAAAACTGCTGTGGTGAATATTATTAGCCACTCTTTTAATAGCATTTAATTGCATTCCAATAAATTGCACTTTAAACTAGTTTCCTGCTAAATAACTAAAATATTATGCACTGTCATCATGTCAAAGACTAAAGAATTGAGTTATTAGAACTTATTAAAAATGCATTGAAAAGTATCTTCTTTCTGTTAAACATTTTCCACAGGAGGACTTTTGTCTTCAGTTGTGTATTAGTACATTTTGAAAGAGTTCCAGTCCTTTCAGATTACATTTTCTGGTATTATATATTTATATTTGATGCATAATATATAATTTAAGCATGTAATTGTTTCCATAGACTGACCTCTCTTTGTAGACTTTCCTTTCATGTGTTTGTAGTCAACCAGAATTCAAAATCAGCCTGGTTTATTTTAATAATGCACATTCCTGACCATTTCTTTTTAATAAATAATAAGTTATGCATATACTCTCTTTCTCTCTCTATCAATATATTTATGTACTAGATGGATGGATGGATGGATGGATGGACGGATGGGTGGATAGATAGATAGATAGATGGATAGATAGATAGATAGATAGATAGATAGATAGATAGATAGATAGATAGATAGATAGATAGATAGATAGATAGATAGATAGATAGATAGATAGATAGATAGATAGATAGATAGATAGATAGATAGATAGATAGATAGATAGATAGATAGATAGATAGATAGATAGATAGATAGGACTATTTAATAAAACTGTTTTGTTTAAACGCATCAGAGATTATTCCCTATAATCACTGATA